ATGAGAATGAAAACCTGTAACTGATCATAGTAAATCATTATAATCAGTTCCAGGTTTTTATTCTCACGTACTCATATCATAAAAAGTATCTTGTAAGCATGAGTTTTGAATTATGGTGATTTTCTGTAATCAATTTTATAATTAAATTTACAAACCACCCAGAGACTTAGAACACATAATAAAAATATGAAATTACATTACAATGCATTGTAGAATTTAGTAAGTGTCCTTTAAGTTGACTATATTTGAATTGTAAAATATTGTAAAGAAGATTTCGCATTTTCGAAAATACTTTAATAGTCTAAATTATGATTACAATTTAAAGGACAAATTCATTTAATCCTCCATAATGATAATTAATTCAAATATTCATATATATCTTTCATGACGCTTGTTAGGCAAAGCATTTCAATTCTAATAATAATGCACACTGTGAGGGTAAAATGAATAAATAAAAAAATCGGTATTTTGTTGGCTTTGCAATACTTTCTGGATCAGATAGATAGACAGGATGCAAGATTGATTTTTAGAATATATGATGTCCTCTGAAAAAATATTTATTTTATTTCTTTAAATTTAGGGTTAATTTTAAGTTAGAACCTTTAGTAACAATTCATATACACATAGTCAAAAAAACATTATTAATTACAGAATTAAAATACGATGGGTGGCTGATTAGACCAATATTTACGATTTTTCAAGCATTAGATGGTTTATTATTTCTATCGTAAAAATAAATGATGTCACGATCTTTTTATTGTTCACAATAGAATTGGAAAAACAGCAGTCCAAAATTTTCGGACGATGTCCAGAATTATGTATCTAATTAGCATTAGAATTAGGGTGTTTTTATTAGATTTAGAACTGTTCTATATAAAATTACATCCTCGGCATCTTTCATTAGCGTAACAAGATAGGCTTAAACTATCGTTTTCTATATTTTTCGTATTTTTCATTGTACTGTTCGTCGGAAATTTTGTTCTAAAAATTCCGAATCAAATCTCAAAATCGGGTGTAATATAAAATCAACAAAAGTACATCTGCAACCAAGTTATGCTGATTGTCACTGTTGTATTTATATACCCCGGTATCTAGTAAAAAATTTCTCTATCTGGTTACGTCAAATTTCGATTTCAGGTGTAACATAAAATCAAAATGCGCACAAATAACGTTGACACTAACACTATGTGAGTTTTTTCATGCAGGTGACGACAGGGTCCTAGGGTAGAGTTTGGTTGGTGGGTGTGTTTTAAATAAACTTTTAACACTAAAATTATCCAGCATCAAGAAAGCTTGGACAGGAAATAAATTCCATAATGTTTCGATGTGGAACTTAAAATGCGAAGAAAATTCTGAAAAATGAAAAAATTACCATAAAATCTCATAATTTACCTCATTGCATCGCATAACCATGAACATCCTATTCTAACCCTAATCTGTACGCTCACCTAATATAAACGAACTTGATGAATTTTTTCGATGACTATGAAAGCAGCACTTTGGTGGTCTGGAGAAATAGTGTTCGTAGATTTACTCTGAGATTGGCTGATTTTTCCATGACATTACATAAATATTATTGGCTAATTGAAATCGTTTGTAAGACAAAAAATTTTATACGAAACTAAATTGATGACGAAATATTTTCTTCGAGAATAATTGACATTAATAAAAGCAATACCTCGAAATTTCACAGTTTACTCCTTAAGACCATAATCCCAGAACCAACGAAACCCTGTAAACCAAGATCGATAAAAACGTGGCAATTAAAAATAGAATGCACGAAATCATTTACTCTATGCGACTAATAAAAATGTACAGTATAAAAAATTTTAAATTCCATGTCACAAAGCAGATTAATTAGTAAGGTAATCATTTTTAAAATAAATTTATATATTGTTCAGTGGTTTAATTATCGTAGTCAGTGCCATATATTTTTAGGAATCGGATATTTCTACACTTTTTTTATATTTTATCTATATACTATACATGAACGAACTACACTCTACTTTTAGAAAAGCTGCCATTGTTTTTTTTTTAAACGGTATTGGTAAATCACACCAATGGTGTTTAACACCATAGTTGCTATTTCTCAAACTGTCTAAATACCAAGATCAGGTGTATTAAATGTTTAGCAACCCAAAAAACCTTATCCCAACTTTATTTTTAGTTTTAATTTTTAGTCTATAGCATCTAATTATATCTTTAATTTTAACTCTAACCTTAAATATTGACAACAAAATTATAATAAAAATTATATAGTGTTCAACACCACTGGTGCGATTTATAATGATTGTTTTTAAATAAATGACCCTATAATAGATTCTAAGATCAAACATGTCTTTTTCGAATTTCCAAATCCAACAACTTTAATAAACCACCACACAGTTCTGTGTCTCTATGCTCATGTGATCCTTTTATTAGTTGTCTCGTTTGACCCCGACTTTTAAAAGATTTTGGAAGTTCACGTTTTCAAGGATTACAACATGTAATAAAATAATTTTAACTATCACTAATATACTATTAATTTTAATCACTTGACTAACATTATAGATTATTAATCTAGATGAAAATAATACTCTTATAAAAATAACGTTAAGACTAAATGAATTCTTAATAATTCTATAGACACAACATATTTTCATTATTTTTAGTTCTAGTATGTAAGAAAAAGCCGTAATAGCTAGTTTATGAAGCAAAATTTCTATTGTTTACATCATCTTTACGTTTTTGATAAATTAAGTAACCGAGTACAAGGGCTATAATTGCAAAGATTATTATACAAGGTATTATGAGAGCAATCATTTGTTGTTTTGAATCGTTTGATGCCGAATTTGTAATTTTCGTTGAATTTATACTTGTTGGGCACGATAATGCCCCACATTGCTTACATGAATCTCTAGGACCATATTCACAGATCTCGCCTGTAGAACTACCACATTGATAAACATATTTTGGATTACATCCTGTTATGTTTAAAGAAAATGTTAAAAATATTATTAATGTGGAAGTTTTTTACTTTTTTACGTACCGAATTGACCACCACATATTAATCCACCATAACCAGACGGACATACACACGTCGTAATAGGGTTGCATTCAGAAAAAACGATACAGATAAAGAATGCAAAAAATAACAGCAAAAATATGAGATACATTGACTTCATTTATAATAAAAAATAAAAAGAATACATGAATTCCTTATATATAATTTATAAAATGTTTTAGTGCACGATGGCCATCATAAGTAATTCAGAAAATGAAAATAAAAACAGTTAGAATACATTGTTCCGACGTATCTTTGTTCTTTATCTCATGTATAAATCATATATTTTAATAGACTATACTATAATACAGATCATTAATAGTCCATTGATCGCACTTTTTTTTGGTCAGATCTGAAATTAATTAAATTAATTTCACCCTTATGTACACTCATTTGTAGATTAAATGAAAATAATAGTTAGATTCCATTGCCTTAAAATTTTGATTCGTAAATACCAACCTAGTCCGGAGAATAATTATTTCGTAATTACCATATCTGACCATCTGATCTGGGTCGTGTATTCATGCAAATCAAACAAATTACGTAAACAATAATTAACAGGTTATTGAAATATAGCATCGGTTAATCGGTCAGTCAAACCATTATAACCGGTAGTATCGGCTACGGTTATAACCGGTCATTGACCAGCCATAACTGTGACTAAACCATCCCTATCAGGCAACACACCAAAGAGACCACCACTAAGAGAACAACTACGGTATTGTGCATTAAGTGTTTAATATGCAAAAGCCCTTTTTTATTATTAGAGATCTATTCTCTATTTATATAGCAGATCTGCATTACACGCAATTGGAAAATATGTACCGGGTTGGTGGCGCAGACAAAATTCTTAAAATTCGTTAAGGTTAGGTTAGGGTCAGGGTTAAGAGCTAGAAGAGAGTAGTTTTAAAAGTAAAATTGTTCATTGAAAACTTTTTGTTAGAGCACAAAGAGTGCTGATTTTTGAGTTATTAGCGATTTTTTGCTTTATTTTGAATCTTCTTGATTGAGTACGTTACACCTAATCTTGAAAGCTGATTCGTAGATCAGAAGAACTGCGTCACCAATCTGGTACACATTTTCCTATAAGTTATAATTAATGTAGCGGATTAAA